TGTCACATACTAGTAGTTGAGTTTGTTCTGTTTTCTTGACTTCAGCCGTTTTCGTGCATGATACGGTGGCGCGTCTTAGCAACCTAGAACGTTCTGTGACGTAGCTCCGCCCGAGAATATCTGACATTACCCTATCCGTGAAACTCAATTTGTTCCAACATATACCGTTCACCGTATACCGTTTCAATGTAATTTAAATGTACTGTAAATGTCCAGCAAGGCGGTAAGCGATCACCAACTTTGTTTACTCACTTTCTAAATTACCTAGGGCACGTATTTCATTAAATAAAATAGTAGCACAATATTACGGGTACAACACAACACCTCCTGAATAATTTTGTTGCAAAATGGAAACAAAGTGGCGATAGAAAAAAAAAACGAAAGTATTTTTTTGTCGTAAAAGAGGGCGTTCAAAGAGTACTGTATAGTAAACGCCTTATTCATTTGCAGGTTTTTAAATCCGGTAATTCCGTCGATAAGTGATATCCGCTAAATTAAATCCACGTGATCACGTAAAACAACAATTGAACTCATTGTTGCGCTGCCAAATTTGTGAACTTAAAACCCAGTGAAATTGCTGAAAGCATCAAAATAGAGAAATTAAATACCAGTGAAAATAAATGGTTTCACAGTAATAAGAAATAGCCATTTAAAGCGCGGTAGTCGTCGCGCAGCGCGTGTTCGATTTTCATGTAAATAAACAGTGTATTTTACACGCGTTGTATACGTCGCTATGAGTTCCATATCGAACAGGACGCGGTGCGAGGACTGCTGCCATTTAATTCGTACATTTATTGAGTCTGAATTTAAGATAGTTACAAGCTACCTTTTAATATATGGGTTTGTATTTTCTTTATTTTTTGTAACCACCTGGGAAGAATATAACAACCCAAGATAATAACGCCCTGTTCTTTGTCAAAAGGTTTTCTTAAAGTTTGTTTGTTTGTTTGTTTGTTTTTTGGGGGGGGGGGGGCAACCCATATCTGGTATTTAGAATTTTTTATACTAAAATACTGCCAATTCCGAGAGATGTCATAACAAAAACGACGTTGAAAATATGGAAAGCAATTCTTGTAATTTTGTTATAATAGTGCAATATATAGTGCAGTGACAAGTGAAGTTGGGGTTTACTCTTCCCTCCTGTAGGTCAGTGAAGTATTACCGATAATTACACCCCTTGCTATGTCGCAAGATTATGGTGTTTCATATTTTAGTGCAAGGAGGCCTTACAAGGCAAAGCTTTCTTTTGATTTACTAGATTCAGAGATATGTTATCTAGTGCAGAAATAGGGAAGTTTGATTCAATGAAACTGAGATTGGGAATGCTTATGTAAACAACGACACTGGAATACGGATATTGGCAATCAACATAATATTGGGAAGGGGTACTTGCATGGAAAAGCGTATATATGCACTGCCAACCATGAAACAAATTGATTCTAATCAATAAAAAAAAAAAAACAATAAGCAAACAACTTTGAGAAAAGTCTAAATTTTATTTCTTGTAAAAATAACTACACCGAGAGAAAAAAGTTACTGTTAATGACACTGGATTATTAGAATTACTGTAACACTTTGCATTGGAGTAAATTTAATTGGTTTGTTCGCTAACAGTTTTGTTTTATTAAGTATCTATCTGTCATAAAACGGGGTTATCCCAAGCATGGATGCCTTATAAATCCAACCCACCTTCATTACGTCATCTCTTAACTCATTACAGTTGAACTAGGGGGCTCTGTGAATTACACAAGACCCTTCAGCATTCAACAGATTTAATGGTTTTCACCAAATAATTTTTTTTTTTTTTGATTACAGTTAATAATATATTTAGAATACATTTGCTCTCCGAGACACTCTATAATAAACTTTGATAACATCAACTATTGACAGTATTTGATTGGCCCATCCATATACTATCTGTGTAAATCTATTTGCATGGTCAATAAGCTAACATTCATTTATTGTAGAGGTCTTTAAGACTGCAGGAGAATCTTGGGTAAAATCGATGCTGAATGATTTGTCTAAAGTATTGATGAGACTATCATACTCACAGTAAACTAATGGTGGAGGATCCAGGGGGAAAAAAAATGCAAAACCATTTTTTTTTTCCAAATTGCTTCAAATAATTTAGCAGCACCCCTTATAAGAAAATTGTAAGGGCTAAGATACATATGCTAATACTTGTTCGTTTTTGTTTTTTGTTCAAATACTCTAGCGATAATTGATTCTATGATAGTGTGTTACACATACTCTATTTCTTCTATTAGAAGTGCATGCTGGGTATTAGCTGAAGATATAGTTTAATGTTCAATATACTTCTAGCTGAATCATAAATGCTGTAGAAGTGTGCATGTTATTAAATATGCGTTGGCAATTATGCTAACTACATCAATAAATATGGATTATAGTTCTCGCTCTCGAACTGAATTGGTGACTCTGGATGAGACAAGTTTTAACCGCTTATTCAGTTTTGAAAATATCCACATGAATCTCTAATAGAAGAAATGCAATATGGGATGACAAAATAAAGTGTGAACTTAGTCAATTTTCTATAGGACATCTACAAAATTCAGTATTCAAATAAAAAAAAAATATTATTTACATCTCAAAAAACAACAAATACTTACATATTTCTCTTTTTTTTTTTTTTTAAATACTAAATTATCTACCCGAAAAAAACCTGCCAGGAAAAGTGCCTGACCACCCTGATTGGATGGTATCAGAAGCTTTCCTGATTGGTCAAGGACACAACATGTGACTCTGAGGACTAAAAATTCATTGGTTGATGAAGTACAATTGTGATACAAAATTGATACATTGAAAAAAAACATGTTATTTCTATAAAGAATAGAATTACAATTTGCTGAGTGTCAACCGTAAAGTGACAACAAAATCTTTAAAAAGACAGAAACCTATATATTTATTTCAACATTTGAAGGCCCCAGAACAAGCATAATATCACTGAGATTTTATTTTGCAGCATGTTTTCAGTCAAACATTGGAAATCTGACCACCCACCATACAAAAGACAACTCCCTACTCTATGTAGACTGGCAAAGTCGGGGCTTCTTTTTTGTTTTACAAACAAATATATAATAAATTGTTAATTTAGCCTTTTTAAGGTGATCGCGAAAACTAGCGTGACTGCGAAAGAAATCCTGACTGGACGCATCGGCAGGCGACCCCCTGCGTTTGAGTGAAAACCGGAGTGGAATCACTCTGGTGATTATGCTAATTTAAATATGTTGACGAGCATTGACAACGAATGCAGCTGTATGCGTCATCTCTTATCTATGTTAATTATCATGCCCTTTCACTTCTGATATCCTGGCGATTTTGAAAGACTACTTATATACATTTGACATCGACTTGTTTTCAGTAAACATGGATGAAAGTATCACCTTTAAAAAAATTAAAGTATCCATCTCTGCAATTGAATCTAATTAACCTTTAAAAGGTCATGTTTACTTTCACTCACACACTCATGAATAATCAATGACATTATGAATAATTAATAGCAGTCAAATGGCCGTAGATGCGTCCAGTCGGGATTTCTTTAGCGGTCAGGTTAGTTTGTGCAATCACGCTAAAAGGAATAAAAGAACAATTAATTATTTCTTTTTGTAAAACAAAAAAAGAAGTCCCGACTTTGCCAGTCTATACTCTATGGTAAAGATGTTCTACATAATACTAGAATTCATGACCTCTAAGGTCACACATCCTGGCAGTGTATGACCTCTAATCTAAGGTCACACATCCTGGCACTTTGCATGACCCTAAATGTCACACATCCTAGCACATTTTCAAAAAGTAAATCTAAATGCAGCAAAGAATTTGTAAGTACATCATGATGGCTATGATTATGTTTCCAAGGAAACACGCATTAACATTAACCCAAACAAAGCAGAAAATTAAAGTGATATCACGATGATCTCTTCAAATTACTGATACTAGACTAGTTTTAAAAATACAGTTATTTTAACAGTATTAAATTATTACATCACTTATATGCACATATAAAACAGCCCAAACAAATTAAAAGCAGATCTTTTCTATTTATATCAGGATAGAAGACGTTTACTGTCGGCATTTACAAAGCATTCTAAAGTCACAGACACATAAATATTGTCATCAATATTGTCAATCATGACCAGGAACATGTTTGTTTTTTTTATACAAAAAACTGTACCATACTTATAAAATAGGGGTTTCTGAAAATTATGACGAAAAATGATTCCTTATTTGAATCATGTAACCCCTGAGTTCAACAGTGACATTATAATAACCGTAACACCCCTATCAGATGATAATGAAACATTCCATCAATAGAAATACTACAAGGTTAAACCATAATGAAAATTACTGTAGGGGTGAAAATGAACATTAGAAATTACACTGACTTGCAGTTTGAGTTTAAAAAGTCACGAGAGGGCTTGCATGCAAAACTCTTTGTATCTGAAGCAGCTGAACGAAAAACAACCTCTTCTTCAAAAAAATCATATTCTTTGACATAACATTATTTGTTTACAAAAATAAAAGCTTGTAAATACTGATGTACTAAGGGACTAATGAACACATCACTCATTTGCATATCCTTTATATCTAGCCTATGATTGGCTGAATCACTTTTCAAGTATGGATGCTGATTGGCTAATGATAACTCACATGACACAAGTATGCAAATAGAGATAGGATGAATAGAATATGCAAATGAATGACCCCAGTTTCTGTATAAGTTTTAAATTAAATTAAAACAAATAAATTATAACAAATCTGGAAAATAATGTGAAAATTACAATTTATTTTCAATGAGCTTCTTAATTAATACATTGTAGTTCATTTGGCTTCAACAATGAGACTACTGGGTTTAAAGAACATACTATACCGTCATGGTGACAATGAGGAAAAGCAACTGCAATTTTTGTCTTCGGGATTGAAAATTAGAAAAGTATTGTTTAATTATATTACAGGACTCTAAGTATAATAATTGGCATTAGTTTTAGTAAATATCAATAGTTGTTCAAAAGGTTTCTAAAATGGCTGTGATATTTTCAAGTTTTATAAGCAAAATACATAGAAAATAATCAGCACTTCGGTTCTCGTCTTATTTTAAAATTATTTTTAAGAGTAATAAATTTTGAAAGTGAACAATCCATCACCAGGAAAACAGAGAAAATAACTGTCAAACAGTATGGGAGACATTAATTATGGAGAAAATGTGTAAAAATCAGATTTTGGAATTAAAACGTGATACGTATAAATATAGCCTGCAGGCAGTACCACGTCTGTCAGTGTACACCAGAAACACGTTCTGACGAAATGTACACTAGTAGTCACATGAACAAAATGATCCAGTGAAAATATGGTACATGTTTTAGCGTTTAAAGCGTCATAGTATTTGCGCAGTATGAATTTGAATTTTGTAAAAACAAAGACAATGTATTTTGTGTCGCATAGGATTCCTATCAAACACAGTATAATGCTACAAAGTGTGGCTCTGTAACGTTCTTTTCAGCTTGACTTATTAAAGTATGAGTCATCGCTATATGACATATTTAATAGGGTTCCCATGCATCATATACAATCTGTGTTTTATACATTGTTTGTTTGAACATCTCAGCTCTTTAAGTTCATCATTCCATAATATCTTTATTTTTCATGGCATCCAAAAGGTATTCTTTACAAAACTATGCTAAAATATGTTAACTACATGGTATTGATAGTTACAAATCTTGTTAAAAATGACAAATAATTTCCTGGCAATTCAAAATATCACATAATGTTATAATGTAGAATGACCATAAATTGCAACAGCGCCCTCAGATTTTTATTTACGCAATTTAGGAATAAAAACAAAATAAACTCTGAAGTCACTGTATGAGGGCGCTGCAAACAGCTCACCATAGTGAATAGTATAATGAGCGATTGGTGTCTAGATGCTAGGCGACAGTGTTTCTGTGGGAACAGCTAATCATCAAAGTCATCCTTGAGGTTCCGGAGCAAACAAATGGCAAACACTATTCCAAATAGCTGGAGGAAACAAAAAGTGAAATAAAAGAACTATCATTAACCATTGACCTTTGCTGAGCAGCATCTATAAAAGGTAGATAAGGAAGGGCTGGCAAATAACATGATGGTGTATGATAACATCATTGCCACCTGATGCAATTTTTTTCACTTATTTTGGCTGTCCCTGGTGGTTTTCAACCGGTGATGTGATATACAATGTACTGATAATTCAGAAAGCTGCATATAATTATGTTATATTTTAATAAAATCCAATGAAACATAAACATCCAATATTTGTGACATTTATGATAAATATTTATCATGTCTTGACAACACAAATAAAGTGTGTTTTTTTTTAAAATGTTCACAGATATGTATGTACGCATAAACAAAGAGATGGTCATATGACAGTATGAATTATAAATTCTGTATTTGAAGCAGCATTCCTAATAGAAGTCGCATCTCTAATAGAGAAGCCACACCCATTCTTTTTTTAATAACCCAAAATCATCATCAAACTCAGGAGCTAATAAACGATGATTTTGGTTTCAACTACCCGGGAAAGTCGATCTTCTTCAGGTAATTAGGTGTTTGTAAGCAAAGGATTTTCCCACACAAAAACGATGAATTCTGTTGAATTTTGTTAGTGGTTGGCTTCAATGTTGCTTAGATAGAATGTTTGCTGTGAAAGTTTGGTATTTTCTCCTGATTTCTCAACTTTTCGCTTTATTTAGTTTCAAGCCGTATTCATTAGCTGACTGTGAGCTGCTACAGAAATAAACAAAAATACTCTAAAACCAACCAATTATGCAAATTAGCTAATTATTATGCAAATATTAATTACAAACTGTTACCCATTGGAGCATTTGTTATACAGAATAAACAAGGTGAAGACAGTTAATTAGCTAATTGATATGCATTCAATTAGAAGCTGTTATAAGATATTGTTCTGCACAAACATGAAGTAAGATTTAATGCAAACAGATACAAAGATACAAAATGAATATGCTAAAACTGATTATTATGCAAGTCTGCGGCTTGGATCAATATGTAATCACTTGTGTCTGCTGACGTCAATTTGGGAGAAAATATCATGGGATTTTATATAAGGAGCTTATGATCCACGACTCGTACATACTGTAGTTTTTACTCAAAATCAGACTCAACGAATGTACATAAGCCTATGCCTAGAACCCAACCACTGTATGCATTCAAACCATAACTTGGTGAGATACCTACCTGTAGACAAGCTACACCAAGACCAGCCCCAGCTAAAATCCAAATATTATTGTTGAACTGTTCATATATAAGATCATAACAACCCTGATAGATGAAAGGAAAAAAATATTATTTGTAAGAATTAGTATGAAATTTACACTATGTTGATTGGCAGTGCATGTTCATTTAGTTTTATAGAGCAGGTATGCAATAACATATTCTTCATGCATCATCATAACGGGTCACTAGAGGGGCAGCATTACAGTAGTTGGATTCCCCCCAAATATATTATTTAAAGCTTATTTCATTCTAAAACCGTTGATATATAAGTCATTGAAAATGAAAATTATAGGAAATTTTTCATTTACAGATATAATCTTACCCCTGAATTCATAAAACTATTTGGGAGTTTCTCATCCCCTTTGCAGGCTGTAGCATTTAATGGTGTTGGCAACTCTCCAGAAATTATTTCCTTTACTTCTGTCATGCAGCAAGACTTTGGAAAAGTCCATAATTCATCCACTTCCTGCTGGGTCGATGTATCATTAAGTTTACTTTTGTACCATTTACTGTCCAACCAGTCCTTATATGACTCTGTACCACAACACTCGAACTACAAACAAATAATAAAGTCATGAGTGATGAGTCCCATCACATGACTGATGATTGGCTGATTCACATCACATGAATGATGATTGGCTGATTCACATCACATGACTGATGATTGGCTGATTCCCATCACATGACTGATGATTGGCTAATTCACATCACATGAATGATGATTGGCTGATTCACATCACATAACTGATGATTGGCTGATTCCCATCACATGACTATGATGATTGGATGATTCACACCACATGACTATTTTTAATTATGCAAATAAAATACTTTGCTACTTACAGTGAGTTGTATAGCATCGATAGCCCGAGAGTTGAACTCTTCGGGATCATCTTCAACATCTTTGTAATCCTCCAACATAGTTTCATTGAGTTTAACTTTCAAGAACGCCTCCACCTGTAAAGAAAGTCATTCATAATGTCAGTCTTCAATTAAATTTTTTAAAACTCCCAGCCTCATTCTCATCACAAACTACCATCACTTGACACCGAAACAAATAACAACAGAAAGGGATCATCACATGTCTCCTAACATGTATAATTTATGTACCAAATTTGAATGAAAATAACAAAGCAATGTCCACTATACATTTTCAAAAAACAAGACGGCTGCCAGTCGGCCATCTTAGACAAATCACAAAACCACTATACTAGGCACATGAGGAGGATTCTGAAATACAACTTCCAATGATCGGACTGCCGAGACCAAATTATAAAAATCTCTTTCAAACTGTTAAAATAATCACTAAAATGAGAATATTTTAGTTATCAACACCAAATGAATTAATCTGCTAGAGGAAAGAAGAAGCACAATCTAACAGTGGCCAATTCAAGGTAATTACAAATAAAATATCAAAAATATAATAAAACATACCCGGTAGTTTTTTTTTTCACAAAAAAAGACAAAATATTTATTTAGTTTGAAGAACGAAGATTATTGTCATGAAATCAAAAAGGTGAAAGGATGATGAAAAAATCACATTTTTCACAAAAAATAACAAAAATATTCACTAAAATTAGAGAATTAAAGGTATCATAACAAAATAAACAAATCTGAGTAAAAAATGTAATGATGCCTATGGACTTATCAGTCATATGATTACCTAAAAATGTTGTTTCATTGTTTATGTTTTTTTGAATTATAAGATATGAAAGTACTATATTAAATATAGATCATACGATTTCCTTGCACATCAAAATGTAGTACTTTGTGTTTCCACCAATCAAATTGAGATACTTACCTCTGATTTGAACACGAAGAGTAAAATAGTACATACAATCTCAGTCAGAAGAATGATAAACACAAACAAGAAATACTGCGAGAGAAAAAGAAAAAAATTTGTTGAGTCGGAAATTAATCTGAATAGTGTATACACCAGAAATCTGTCAAATACTGTATACTGGAAACGAGTCTGAATAATGTTCACTGTAGTCATGGTTACATAAACAGTAGGATTAATTGTTAAGAAAGTGACTCTTCTAGGACATTTTGAGATAGTACTTAACATACCTTAAAAACAAATGGCTGCTATGTTTTCATGAGAGTGAGACGACCACAATACTTGTTTTGACTTTTTAACTAGTGTTCAAGTCGATCACATATACTGCTCCCCTGATCAATGTAACCATGGAATTTGGAACAGTTGACGTGGCGACAGTAGATAATGGAATAATATTTGAGAAGCAAAAACAAGTCCCGTGGTTTTCTCGCTCCCAACAAAATCTCGGCAGCCATTAGATTCAATGGTATGTTATCTGACGTTCAATAACAAACTGTAAACATCTGAGAAGTTCCTGAACTATTTTCAATGAAATTTCTGAAGATTTTCAAACATTTTTGATTCAAAATGGCTGTCAGATTCATAGTAATAATAATCACATAATTATCCCTTTTACAACTTTCTTTGAGAATCATAGTGGAGCATTATAACAAATGAAAAGCTCACCGTCCACAGCATGCATTTGTTTTCACACCATGCACCGGCACATCCAAAGAAACCAAGGATAGTGACGAATCCTCCAACTCCAATCATTGCAAAAGCAGCCGTCTTGAAGATTGGACTGTCCATTATTTGTAAGAAAGGCAAACTTGTTCTGTCAATGGAAATCCATACACCCAGGATCAAAATTGACAACCCGGTTATCTGTAAACCAAAATTTAGACATCAAATTTAAGGAGAAAAATTCTTGCAGCTAATATATTATATAACAAGCAGCCTGTCGGCTGAGATAGCTCTGCTATTAGATAATTGAAGATATCACCACAAAATTAACAAATCTAAAAGAGGTCCACATGTAGTACCTATATATGTAATATAAAAGCAATCAGACTTGCGGTTTTCAACAAGAAGTCACAAAAATCACTTTTTACCAAAAATGACAAAAATATTCACCAAAATTAGAGAATTAAAGATATCATTACAAAATGAACAAATCTGAGAGAGGTTCACATGTAGTACCTATATATGTAATATAAAAGCAATCAGACTTGCGGTTTTCAACAAAAAGTAAAAAATATCACTTTTTACCAAAAATTAAAAAAATATTCACCAAAATTAGAGAATTGAAGATATCATCACAAAATGAACAAATCTGAGAGAGGACCACATGTAGTACCTATATATGTATATGAGAGAGGTCTACCCAAGGTACATATACACCAAGTATCAAAGCATTCAGGCTTGTAGTTTTCAAGAAGAAGTTGAAAAAGTAAAACATTGACACGGACGACAGACAACGGACGACTGACAATCACTCATATGATAAGCTCTGCTTGACAAAGTCGACAGCGGAGCTAAAAAAATAAGTCAAAGATATGGCTCCAGAAAAACATTATTTAAAATAAGATTGCTGTCAATCGTCATTTTGAAATTGATTTGTAAATTTCACATGATGTTCAATGTGTATACCAGTTTTGAATTAAATATTTCTATGCCTGTCTGAGATTCAGTTCTGAAAGTTAGAAATGCTTTATATAGATTCATTTTTAGCACTAAAATGGCCGCCAAATGACCATGATGAGCTGGATGGTGAAATGAATGCATGCGCATTTGTGTGACATAGGTACATGTAAGCAATTTGGAACATGAACGAACAAGGCATGTCAGAGACATACATGTAGCTTAAGAACTGTATTTCTCAAAACAAAATGGCCACCACACAGCCATTTTGAATGCAATTTGTAAAACAAAACAACATGCATCAAGGTCCTATTATGTTCAACAAATTTTGAAAATGTTTAGTGGGAAAAATTATAGTGCTAAAAGGAATAATGTCCCCTATACTGACTAGTTAATAGAAGAGAAGAATGGTTTGGCTCGAAATAAACTACCAGTACTTGAGTTATAAGGCAAGGGAGATTTGATACAGTAATACTCAGAGTAAATCCATTTTATAAGAATGTAAAGTGCTCTGAAAAAAAAAAAGTTATCATTGGAGAGATGTCAACATGTTAAATTAATCATTTAGAGACCAAGTAGTCTGCAAATACCACAAATAGCTGGTAGAATACCAGAGATGAATGTTGTGACTACAAATGACAAACTGGTGCCAGAATGAATGCTGAATAGTCAGACTGCACTTTCGGCTCTCTACAAATGATGCATTAGTTAGATCAAAACAATTGTGTTTCTGACGCCAGATTTTTTGAAAAAAGATTAATTAAATTAGTATGAAGAATGTAGTTTATAGTTTTCAACTGAGACCGGATAAAAATAATGATTCCATCATAAATTTACAACTAGGAATCAAATTAACCATCGTCTGTTCAAATTAAAGCTACTACCGGTATATGAGATTGACCTGGTTAATACACATAATATCCAGCAGTGCTATACAGTATCATTATTAATTACTTGTTTTACAGTTCATTGCAACAGTCAAATAAGAAATATTAACATTGTAAGATCATGTAAAAACGCCAGTCATCATGTTCAAAATGTCTGTGTAAGCAAACAGTGTAAATTATTCACATTTGCACACATATTGTGACTGGTTTGCTAAACCCATGAGGACGTTGACAACCAACAGTGAAATAATGGCGTTGTTAAATAAAACAAGCATATGGCATGCTAGTGCTAATTTATGAACAACATTTTTTGTCGGACACTCTGTTTTCCAAAAATGTAAACAAATTGAGTCACAGTGCATCGGCATATATGTTGAACAGGACCCATTGACCAATTCGGTGCAATTAATTACTAGGGGTGGCCATCAGATTACGGGGGGGGGGGGGGGGAAGAAACATTAGTGTACATTATTTTCACTTATAGTTTAAACTATTTTTTTTTATTTCAAGTGTGTTTAACAAATTTTAAAATAAATATTATTTTTTCCCTGTGGTATTTGATTTTACAAAATGCTAATTTTTTTGCCCAAATCAACCACCCCTTCACGTTTTTAACAATCCACCCTTCAACTGAATGATAAAAAAAATTCAGACTTACCCAAAAAATAAAGTTGAAGAAAAACAGGAGAATCTTTGAACAGGTGCCACAGGCAGTGGTTGTCATGGTGATTGTTTATCTTGTTACTTTGTGACTGGTATTTCTAATAAATTGAACTTGGTGGTAATACGCCTTGGTTCAAGCTGCAAGAAGATAAAATTACAAAAAAAATATTTGTTAATAAATTGAAAGAAACAACAAACATCTACTATTACTGCAATATACCAGACTTAAAAGAATTTTTAGTTTTTGTAGCAGCTCTGTAATTCAATCTCGAGAAATATGGCCGAGTAATTTACTATATTTTACAGAAATACTAAAGATTCAAAGGTCAAACTTTGTGACCTTAAAGCAAAAAACATTTTAAAGAAATGTAGAGCATATTCTAGAATCAATACTGGTTCATTTTTAAGCTGAAAAATAATTTTGAATTATACCTCAGATTAATAGGATCAGCCAAAAAAGACTTTGAACTGAGCTGACCTGAATAGCCTTGTTTTTGAATAATGACAAATAAACTACGTAATGTGTTCAATTATACACGAATACATTAAGTTGGTCACGTGATTCAGCTGAATAAAAAGTAAACACTCGAGAATAAAATCTGTGATAAAGAGGCATTGAGGTATGACGTTGACACTGAAGTCTGTTATTGTGGTGACATCGAGGAAAGGTGTCACAGTGCCACTGAGGTCTAGCAGCAACACTAGATAAAAAAGATAAAATAATTTTTCTGAATTACTAAGCTGAAAAAATTAATAAAAAATAGCATAAATCTGCTTCTATTTGTGTCCCAGTTGCAAGATGTGATGCGAGCACGCTGAGTTTTTGTATTCCATGGAAATCTAATTCCGGAACTTTTATTTGCTCCAAAGTTAATCCATGGCATGGCAACGAGACAAAACCAACTATTACTCATATATTTGTGCAACAGGATGTTTATTCTGAACTAGTATCAAGATAAAATAAAGAGGAAAGAGACTGAAGTTGTATTCGTGGAATTCTCTACTATTTTAATTAACACCAGTACCGTAGGCAATATCAACAATATCTAAAAAAAAATATAATTATTATGTCAAAATATATGAGGAATGTGATAAACCGCTTAAACATAATGACGGCTTCATTTACTGCTAGGTGGTTGACCCCTTGAGAAATGAATTAAAATGAAACGACTTTACGCATATGTTTTTTCTTCATTTCAACTGCTAGACAGTTGGCACACACTCATAATGAACCGTTTCTATTTCAACAGTACATCTCCCTTGAAACCTTTTTTACCTTCAGTCAAATACAATCCAACTGAAGAGATCACCTGGCGTTGCATTTCTTAGGTCCCAGCGTAAAGCATAATGATCTGACTGCATGGCGTCAGGGGTGTTTACATTATACGGATCTTTAAACGTAAACTCTCATACCACTTCAACGTACAAATACGTCTCAACAGTCAGGTTAATCACCTGATCGTATGTAGTCAACGTTACAACATGTACATTGATACTCTTATTACCTTATTAAACAAATTCAGGGAAATAAAATAACAAAAAATCTTTTCCTTCAAGCTGACAAATCAGCAAAAACAGCGCCCTCACTCAATGCTTGTATGTTAATGATAGCCATATTTCTTTCTGTCAAAATGTAAGTGCAACATATTTTGCCAATTCTTTGGTGATTTTGGACAAAAGGGCCATTTGATGCAGGTATATTATGCTGGCTCATTTGTGACAAAATTGAAATTTTGGGTTAGTGTAAAGACTATAATTTGAGCAATATGAAGGGTTTGGTTTGTTTTTTTCTGCTTACTGTAAAATACTTTATTTGTGCTTGGAATTAATTTTCACTGAAGGAATGATTCAGTGAAAATAAAATCCAGCGAATATACCTTTTTTCTATATTTTACATTCAATTCAAGAATCAGTGAAAATAAATTCCATACAAAACACCCAAAAAGTCATTTCAGCAAAAATTAATTCCAGTTAAAATCAAGTATTTACAGTACTATGGTGAAATGGTTATATTTCATTTTTTATTCAGTTGTAACTACATGTAAATCCATCATGACTAGGTTTTTTCCTTCAAGTCTTCCCCAAGATTTAAAAAGGACTTTCTCTAATCCCTTCAACAAGGCAAGTATGTAAGTAAGAATCAGGCAGTGATCTTCAAAAGCTTACAAAATGATTTCTATACAATGTTTTTAGTGAATAAATCACTCTACAGTAAATAAATCTTAAATGAAGGTCAATATCTACAACTAAATTTATTATTATAACATTTTATTGTACTCGATTTTTATTCCAACTGAGCAAGTATTTTTATTGGTTGGGTTCAAGAGAAACAGCTTGAAATAAAAAAAAAGTATGATTGATAAACATATTAAATATCCAATGGGGATATTTGAAATGTCTCCATCAAAAAATTTTGACCTAATTTTACTTTAATTTGTTAATTACTAATTAATTTTAATATTGATTAATATTCCTGGTCATTCATTACATGTAGCAGTTAAAAAAGTGGTTTCTTTTTAGGTTTTTTGTCAGGATTTTTTTAAAAAATGGAAGAAAAATTGTCAGTAAAATCAAAATAAAAGCACAAGTTATGACAATTATTAAATAAAATAATTATTAAAATATTAAATAAAAATGAAAATGTACACTTCATGGATTTGAGTAAAACAAATTGACAAAATAAAACATT